AAAAACAAAACACCGTGCTCAGCACAGCCCCCCACCCCCAAACCAACGCTTCCAGACCCCCGAGGGGAAACCGAACCCCATACAAAGGGCCCACGTCCTGCAGGCCCCGCCACAGCGGGCGGGGGGAGCGCACCCCGGCCCTCACAGCCCCTCACAGCCCCGCACTGAGGGCTCCCAGGCCCCACGAAGGCCCCGCAGCCCCATCACCCCTCCGGCCCCCGCTCCCCGCCCGGCACCGCCCGGCCCGGCCTCCCCCGCCCCAACGCTGCCCGGTCCCGGTCGGGGCGAACCGCGGCAGCAGGGCGGTCCCGGTGGCCGTTACCTCGGCGGTCCCTCAGCGCCGGGCCCCGCAGCCGCTGCCCCGCGGCCTGCCCATGGCGGCGCCCCCGGCCCGGCTCTCCTCACGCCGCCTCTCGCCTCCCCTCACCACTCCAGCCAACGACACCGCTACGCTGTCGGCGTAAGCTCCGCGCTCGCCCATGCGCCCCCCACCACGCCGCCAGCGCAAGAGCCCTTCCTGAATACCAACTCCGGAGCGGTGCGCGGCGCAAGCGCAGCCGATGGGAGGATGGTGGCGCAACGGCGTTGGCGTAAAGCGCGGTCGAGAATAGGAGGCTGGAGGCGAACGGCGGGCGGGAGGCTTTACGACAACCGAGGCGCGCTTTACGGCAGCGCCGCGCTCGGCGGCAATGGGCGGGACTTCCGCTTAACTCCTTGTTGACCAGAGCGCTCGGTGCGGTATGCGGTCCCGCTATGGGGGACGGGCTGTGTGCTGCCTGCGGCCCTTTATAAAGGACGGAGACAGGGGACAGCCCGTGCTGTGGGGGGTGGGCCCGCGTTTCCTGCAGCCTCTGCTGGGAGACAGGCCCTGTGCTGCATGTAGCCCCAGTAGGGGCCAGCCCCAACTGCAGGGGACAGGCCCTGCTGCAGGACAAGAGCTGTGCTACAGGGGACAGGCCCTGCTGTAGGATGAGAGCTGTGCTATAGGGATAAGGCCCTGCTGTAGGACAAGAGCTGTGCTATAGGGGACAGGCCCTGCTGTAGGACAAGAGCTGTGCTATAGGGATAAGGCCCTGCTATAGGACAAGAGCTGTGCTGTATGGATAAGGCCCTGCTGTAGGACAAGAGCTGTGCTATAGGGGGGCAGGCCCCATACTGCCTGCAGCTCCCTATAGGGAACAGGTGCCACAGTAGATGACAGGCCCCCTTAGAGGGTTCAATATGGGCTCTGCAGTGACTGAGCTGCAGGCTGGGTAGCTTTATTGCTGCACCCCTCTGCACTGGGGGAAAGAAAAAAGGGGGTGATTATATTCTTGCAGACTCCTGTTGTCTGTTGTTCAGACCTTTTGCTTGAGAACTTACCCATCTTGTGGAGCAACTGGTGAGAAAGTGAATTGTTCTGATGTTGTTTAAATGTGATCTCCAGTGCCATATCTCGGTGAACACTGGGTGTGTGGTCTGCAGAGAGCTTGCAGGTCCTGTGATGGAACCAGCTCAGCTGGGGAATTTCTGTTGGGACAGCATCCATCTTTGAACCCTGCCCTCCTCCCAGGCATGAGGCAATTAGAGTCCCAACCAGACCACACAAATGCACTGCTGTAACACACACAGAGCTGCTCAGGGGCAGGCAATGCACTCTGTACGCTTCTATAGTGCAGGAGTGAAGAAACATTCAGGGTGTGGACAACCAGCAGCCCCCTATGTGCTGTTTAATATCTACACTCATTCCTGGGCCTTTCTGTCCATTGCCACTGCCTGGCTGAATTGCACTGGGGCAGAAACGTTGTGTTCCCATTGACCTGAGGGAGAAAGGGGGCAGTGCTTGGAGTCAATCCATTTGCTTGCTTGACCTGCTCTGGGAGAAGCTGCTGCCATGAGATTTTTGCAGATTTGAGGGCGATGCAACATCCTGCCCATAGAGACAAGATGCTAATGGCTCCGGGGGGGGTAGAGGGCTTTGATAGGAGGAAGGGATTGAGATCAGCAGATGTTGGATTGAGTGGCTGCAATGAAAACAGCTCTTTCAGCTTCTATGAGCAGAGCTGGAGCACAAAGCAATTTGGGGCAACAGATCCAGTTGCATGCTTAAGGAAAGGGATGGAACTCAGCTCCAAGTCAGTTTGCCCCAGAGATGGCAATATCCTTTCAGACAGCAAAGCAGGCAAGGCAGGAGCCCCACAATGGGCTGTGCTGCTCAGAAAGGGCCAGGAAGGAAGGTCTGACCCCATTTATCACCTGCACCTCTCCTAAGCTGGAAAATGAGGACAGTGGTAATGTTATTATAAAACACTTGCCAGTCAGCTGTCCCACTGGTCCCCAGCAAGGGGATGAGCTTCGCCCATAAATGTGTGGCTCTTTTAAGGGGGGAAAAAAAAAAAAAATGGTGGGAGACTTTGGAAAGAAAATCTCAATTTTGCCATTTCCCTCTGCCAGACAGGTAGGGTTCCCTGGGAACAGACACAGCTCTGACACAGCCAGTTCGAGAAGAGCACAGGATGAGCTTTTATTGTCTTGTGATCAAAACACAAACAGAAAGCAGAGCCCTGCAAGTGACACAAAACATCACACACAGACACGAGCAAAACCAGGAGCCGGGTCTGGATTAATGGTGTGAAGAGATCGAATGTAAACATTAAAAACCATAGAGGAGCCCGAAGAATTAAGCCATGGCAGTTCAGGCAGCACTGAGTCGACTTGCTAGAATTTGGGTTTCTGGCACTGAAAAGGATGGAAGGGGGGAAATGTGTTTTGAGATGGCAGCTCCCATCCACGGAGCTTCGCTTAAGCTCGTTAGAAATCTCAGGCAGTGTTTGCTCATGACTTAGCAATCATTTTGCTAACGATGGTTGTGATTTTAGCATCTGCCTCCAACCAGTTTGGTTTGAAGCTCTGAAGTATCCCCTTCTCTGCGTTGAGCAGGTTGGAAATGCAAGGATGGGTGCTTCAAAAGACCCCCAGATTCCCCAAAGGGAAAAAGAAGAAGTACAGAGTCTCTTGGCAATGCTTCTCCTCACGGTTCCTTTATCACTCTCTGATGGCAAGCGACATAGAACGCTGAAAATCACACCTGACACATGACAAAGGCACCTAAAAGCTTGGCAACGCGACCAGGTCGTATTCTATTATGAAGGCTTCAAGCATTTGTAATTACAAACACATTGCACACTCGCGAGAAGAAAACACCCTTGTGTTCAGCACATGAAACATCCCCGAGGGCTGGTGCTGCAGCAGGGGTCAGTGCTGCTCGTAAACCAAGGTCAGAGGAGGCTCTGCCCTCCCACTGACGTTTGCTGTTGCTTTGGCCCTAACAACAAAGGTGTTGTGCAAACTCCAAGCTGTACTTTGCTGAGTGTTTATGGAATGACATGGGAAAAGTGAATGAAGCGAAAGGGAGGTTTTGCAGAGGGGAATGGGGAACAAAGATTTCTCCTTCATGAACTAACATCGTTAGTTAAGGCACATATAGAAACGGTTTTCAAAAGATCACTTGCAAATCAGTTCCTCCTAGCTGGGGCAGCCTCCCTGTCCACGAGCCAGGACTGCTTTCCAGTTACTCAGTGTGAACGTGGAGCGACTCATGCTGCAGCACCTATGGCATCCCCTAGAGCTGGGCAGGCCATGGGGCCAACCCAAACCTCCAGACCTGGCTCAGGCGGCCCTGCACAGGACCAGCTGTCGGAGCTGAAGATGCTTAATGCTCACTCCCTTCAGAAATATTGGGAACTGACCTCCCAGACAGAGAGAGTTCCCAGCAGGGTGCTGGGGGGAAGGGGAAACAACAGCCTTTGCTGCTCGGGTCGTTGCAGGACACAGGGAATGGGATGGCTCAGGCTCCAGCCGTCCTGCTGGACGTGCATGAGATGAAGGTGGGCAATGAGATAAATCAGTGCTAGCTCTCAGGGGTACAAACCCTCCCGACAGCTTTATCCTCTTTTGCTGATTACTGGGGAAAGGCAAGAAGCTCTGCTCGTACCTGGAAGGAAGTACTGCTGGATACAGAGGCATCAGCTCTGCATTGCTGACATCAGCTACTGAGCTTCCCTTGGTCTATCAGTTCACTGCACGATGGCGTTGGATTTTAACTAACATTGGTAGAAGGCAGAATTAAATCTATCCATTGTAATGGAATTGCTCCCAAACCACCCTGGGGCCCAGTGCTGAGATAATGCAGCTGGAGCCCAGAACACAGGACAAGGCATGTCAGTCAGGCAGGTAGGGTCAGCATGGAAATTCTGGTGTGGGACTGGGATGGCACAGAGATCTCACACTGCCTGCTGTAAGAGGGCGAGCATCCCCATTGGACTCAAAGCCCAATGCCAGTTGGCTTTCCCATAACTTCCAGTGGGATTTTGGCAAGCACTCATTAACAGAATGAGATGAATCTGCACCTCTGCAGCATACAGATGCAGCTAAAGCTTTTGGAAGCGGGGAAAGCAGGACTTCTATCCTAAGAGCAGTTCTAGCCACATGGAAATGGGGACTCTTCTTCATTTCTGAGCAACACTCACCCACAGTGAGCACTGCTTTCTGAAGGAATCTTCACCAGAGAGCAGATGAGAGCTGCAGATTGCACAGACACCTTCAGATCAGCAGTACCAAAGAAATCAGGTGTTACATTTCCCATGGAGTGGGATTACTCATCCAGGAAAGCCAACACCGGTCGGCACTCTTGCTCAGATTGTGGTTGTTCCAAAGACAGACAGCTTGGAGGTGTGTGGGGAAGCAGGAGAGCAACGCTGGCAGTGCTCACATTGCAGGGAGCTCAGCCACAATCACGAGGAGCCCTCGAGCAAAGAGCAGTGAGCAGCGGGTTCCTCAGTCTGCAACGAGGCAAATGCTGGAGCAGCACAAGGGAAAAAACCTTCTGCTATTCTGATCCGGCCGTGCAGAGCTCTCGGCGTGCCATAGCAGACAGCACACATCTTCTGCAGCAACAAGGAGACAAAAAAAAA